TCAGCACACACTGAGGATCAGCACACACTGAGCATACACTGAGGATCAACACACACTGAGCACACACTGAGCACACACTGAGCACACACTGAGGATCAGCACACACTGAGGATCAGCACACACTGAGCACACACTGAGGATCAGCACACACTGAGCACACACTGAGCACACACTGAGGATCAGCACTCACTGAGCACACACTGAGGATCAGCACACACTGAGCACACACTGAGCACACACTGAGCACACACTGAGCACACACTGAGCACACACTGAGGATCAGCACACACTGAGCACACACTGAGGATCAGCACACACTGAGGATCAGCACACACTGAGCACACACTGAGCACACACTGAGCACACACTGAGGATCAGCACACACTGAGGATCAGCACACACTGAGCACACACTGAGGATCAGCACACACTTAGCACACACTGAGGATCAGCAAGCACTGAGGATCAGCACACACTGAGGACACACTGAGGATCAGCACACACTGAGCACACACTGAGCACACACTGAGGATCAGCACACACTGAGCACACACTGAGCACACACTGAGCACACACTGAGGATCAGCACACACTGAGGATCAGCACACACTGAGGATCAGCACACACTGAGCACACACTGAGGATCAGCACACACTGAGCACACACTGAGGATCAGCACACACTGAGGATCAGCACACACTGAGCACACACTGAGGATCAGCACACACTGAGCACACACTGAGCACACACTGAGGATCAGCACACACTGAGCACACACTGAGCACACACTTAGGATCAGCACACACTGAGGATCAGCACACACTGAGCACACACTGAGCACACACTGAGCACACACTGAGGATCAGCACACACTGAGGATCAGCACACACTGAGCACACACTGAGGATCAGCACACACTGAGCACACACTGAGCACACACTGAGCACACACTGAGGATCAGCACACACTGAGCACACACTGAGCACACACTGAGGATCAGCACACACTGAGCACACACTGAGCACACACTGAGCACACACTGAGGATCAGCACACACTGAGCACACACTGAGGATCAGCACACACTGAGGATCAGCACACACTGAGGATCAGCACACACTGAGCACACACTGAGCACACACTGAGCACACAGTGAGGATCAGCACACACTGAGGATCAGCACACACTGAGGATCAGCACACACTGAGGATCAGCACACACTGAGGATCAGCACACACTGAGCACACACTGAGGATCAGCACACACTGAGCACACACTGAGGATCAGCACACACTGAGCACACACTGAGGATCAGCACACACTGAGCACACACTGAGGATCAGCACACACTGAGCACACACTGAGGATCAGCACACACTGAGCACACACTGAGGATCAGCACACACTGAGCACACACTGAGCACACACTGAGGATCAGCACACACTGAGCACACACTGAGCACACACTGAGCACACACTGAGCACACACTGAGGATCAGCACACACTGAGGATCAGCACACACTGAGCACACACTGAGGATCAGCACACACTGAGCACACACTGAGCACACACTGAGGATCAGCACACACTGAGGATCAGCACACACTGAGGATCGGCACACACTGAGGATCAGCACACACTGAGGATCAGCACACACTGAGCACACACTGAGCACACACTGAGCACACACTGAGGATCAGTACACACTGAGGATCAGCACACACTGAGCACACACTGAGGATCAGCACACACTGAGCACACACTGAGCACACACTGAGCACACACTGAGGATCAGCACACACTGAGGATCAGCACACACTGAGCACACACTGAGGATCAGCACACACTGAGCACACACTGAGGATCAGCACACACTGAGTACACACTGAGGATCAGCACACACTGAGCACACACTGAGCACACACTGAGCACACACTGAGCACACACTGAGGATCAGCACACACTGAGGATCAGCACACACTGAGCACACACTGAGGATCAGCACACACTGAGCACACACTGAGCACACACTGAGCACACACTGAGCACACACTGAGGATCAGCACACACTGAGCACACACTGAGGATCCGCACACACTGAGCACACACTGAGGATCAGCACACACTGAGGATCAGCACACACTGAGCACACACTGAGCACACACTGAGGATCAGCACACACTGAGCACACACTGAGGATCAGCACACACTGAGCACACACTGAGCACACACTGAGCACACACTCAGCACACACTGAGGATCAGCACACACTGAGGATCAGCACACACTGAGCACACACTGAGGATCAGCACACACTGAGCACACACTGAGCACACACTGAGCACACACTGAGCACACACTGAGTATCAGCACACACTGAGGATCAGCACACACTGAGGATCAGCACACACTGAGCACACACTGAGGATCAGCACACACTGAGCACACACTGAGGATCAGCACACACTGAGCACACACTGAGGATCAGCACACACTGAGCACACACTGAGCACACACTGAGGATCAGCACACACTGAGCACACACTGAGCACACACTGAGGATCAGCACACACTGAGGATCAGCACACACTGAGCACACACTGAGCACGCACTGAGGATCAGCACACACTGAGCACACACTGAGCACACACTGAGGATCAGCACACACTGAGCACACACTGAGCACACACTGAGCACACACTGAGCACACACTGAGGATCAGCACACACTGAGCACACACTGAGGATCAGCACACACTGAGCATACACTGAGCACACACTGAGCACACACTGAGGATCAGCACACACTGAGGATCAGCACACAATGAGCACACACTGAGGATCAGCACACACTGAGCACACACTGAGCACACACTGAGCACACACTGAGGATCAGCACACACTGAGCACACACTGAGGATCAGCACACACTGAGCACACACTGAGGATCAGCACACACTGAGGATCAGCACACACTGAGGATCAGCACACACTGAGGATCAGCACACACTGAGCACACACTGAGCACACACTGAGCACACACTGAGCACACACTGAGGATCAGCACACACTGAGCACACACTGAGGATCAGCACACACTGAGGATCAGCACACACTGAGCACACACTGAGCACACACTGAGCACACACTGAGCACACACTGAGCACACACTGAGGATCAGCACACACTGAGCACACACTGAGGATCAGCACACACTGAGCACCCACTGAGGATCAGCACACACTGAGGATCAGCACACACTGAGCACACACTGAGGATCAGCACACACTGAGCACACACTGAGCACACACTGAGGATCAGCACACACTGAGCACACACTGAGCACACACTGAGCACACACTGAGCACACACTGAGGATCAGCACACACTGAGCACACACTGAGGATCAGCACACACTGAGGATCAGCACACACTGAGGATCAGCACACACTGAGCACACACTGAGGATCAGCACACACTGAGCACACACTGAGGATCAGCACACACTGAGCACACACTGAGCACACACTGAGGATCAGCACACACTGAGCACACACTGAGCACACACTGAGCACACACTGAGCACACACTGAGGATCAGCACACACTGAGCACACACTGAGGATCAGCACACACTGAGGATCAGCACACACTGAGCACACACTGAGCACACACTGAGGATCAGCACACACTGAGGATCAGCACACACTGAGCACACACTGAGGATCAGCACACACTTAGCACACACTGAGGATCAGCACGCACTGAGGATCAGCACACACTGAGCACACACTGAGGATCAGCACACACTGAGCACACACTGAGCACACACTGAGGATCAGCACACACTGAGCACACACTGAGCACACACTGAGGATCAGCACACACTGAGGATCAGCACACACTGAGGATCAGCACACACTGAGCACACACTGAGCACACACTGAGGATCAGCACACACTGAGCACACACTGAGCACACACTGAGCACACACTGAGGATCAGCACACACTGAGGATCAGCACACACTGAGGATCAGCACACACTGAGCACACACTGAGCACACACTGAGCACACACTGAGGATCAGCACACACTGAGGATCAGCACACACTGAGCACACACTGAGGATCAGCACACACTGAGCACACACTGAGCACACACTGAACACACACTGAGGATCAGCACACACTGAGCACACACTGAGCACACACTGAGGATCAGCACACACTGAGCACACACTGAGCACACACTGAGCACACACTGAGCACACACTGAGGATCAGCACACACTGAGCACACACTGAGGATCAGCACACACTGAGGATCAGCACACACTGAGGATCAGCACACACTGAGCACACACTGAGCACACACTGAGCACACACTGAGGATCAGCACACACTGAGGATCAGCACACACTGAGCACACACTGAGGATCAGCACACACTGAGGATCAGCACACACTGAGCACACACTGAGGATCAGCACACACTGAGCACACACTGAGGATCAGCACACACTGAGCACACACTGAGCACACACTGAGGATCAGCACACACTGAGCACACACTGAGCACACACTGAGCACACACTGAGCACACACTGAGGATCAGCACACACTGAGGATCAGCAAACAGCTTTTGCTGTGCGTCCTCAGGAGGGCAAAGTGAGTCTCTGTTCTTCCTCCTCCTTCTCCTCTGATCAGTGATTGACCATGAGACCTGAGTGTTTGTTGATTGACTAACTGAACTAATGAATGAATGAACGAACAAATGAATGAACGAAGTAATTAACAAATCAATGAACGAATGAACGAATGAACGAACGAATGAACGAATGAACGAACGAACGAACGAATGAATGAACGAACGAACGAATGAATGAACGAATGAATGAACGAACGAATGAATGAACGAACGAATGAACGAATGAATGAACGAACGAACGAATGAACGAATGAATGAACGAACGAATGAACAAACGAATGAATGAAGGACACTCACCACTCCGTGTGCGGCCTGTCCACGACCAGCAGCACCCGCGTGCCGCCGGCCCCGCCCCCTCCGCCGGCCCCGCCCCCGGCCCCCTGGTCGCCGAATGTCTGCTTCACCGCCTGCGACAGCGACGAGAAGAACCCGGATGTGGCGGTCCCGGCGGAGGACCCGGATGTGGAAGTCATGGCGGCGGTCATGGCGGCCGCGGAGGACCCGGATGCGGCCGGGGTCACCGGGGCCGGGGTCACGGCCGGGTCTCCCAGGTACCCGTTCGGCAGATTCGCCATGAAGTTGCTGTCCGACAGGCGGCGCCGCAGGTAGTTCATGGTCCGGGGTTCGAGGATGTGCGCGCGGGGGTTCGAGGAGGGGCCGCGGCGGGCGCGTAGGAGTTCGGTGCCCGGGGTCCGGGGTTCGAGGACGCGCGGGGCCGGGGTCCGGGGTTCGAGGATTCGCGGGGGTTCGCGGTGGGGCCGCGGCGGGCGTGTAGGAGTTCGGTGCCCCGGGGTCCGGGGTTCGACGAGGCGCGCGGGGTTCGAGGCGGGGCCGCGGCGGGCGCGTAGGAGTTCGGTGTCCCGGGGTCCGGGGTTCGAGGATGTGCGCGGGGTTCGAGGCGGGGCCGCGGCGGGCGCGTAGGAGTTCGGTGCCCGGGGTTCGGGGTTCGAGGATTCGCGGGGTTCGGGGTTCGGGGTCCGCGGTGCTGAAGCCGCCGCCGCCGCGATGACGTCACCGGACGCAGGGCGCATGCGCCGCCGCCGGGGCTGCGGCGGCTGCTGAGGTGACGTCAGCGAGGTTTTTTTTTTTTCCTGAAAATAAATGAGTGTTTGTTGCGTGATTATGTGCGCAATGTTCTGATTTTATATTTATTAATCATGCACACACTATTCTCATTTTATATTTATTTATCATGCACACACTATTCTCATTTTATATTTATTTATTATGCACACACTATTCTGATTTTATATTTATTTATCGTGCACACACTATTCTGATTTTATATTTATTTATCATGCACACACTATTCTGATTTTATATTTATCATGCACACACTATTCTGATTTTATATTTATTTATCATGCACACACTATTCTGATTTTATATTTATTTATCGTGCACACACTATTCTGATTTTATATTTATTTATCATGCACACACTATTCTGATTTTATATTTATTTATCGTGCACACACTATTATGATTTTATATTTATTTATCGTGCACACACTATTCTGATTTTATATTTATTTATCATGCACACACTATTCTGATTTTATATTTATTTATCATGCACACACTATTCTGATTTTATATTTATCATGCACACACTATTCTGATTTTATATTTATTTATCATGCACACAGTATTCTGATTTTATATTTATTTATCATGCACACCCTATTCTGATTTTATATTTATTTATCGTGCACACACTATTCTGATTTTATATTTATTAATCATGCACACACTATTCTCATTTTATATTTATTTATCATGCACACACTATTCTCATTTTATATTTATTTATTATGCACACACTATTCTGATTTTATATTTATTTATCGTGCACACACTATTCTGATTTTATATTTATTTATCATGCACACACTATTCTGATTTTATATTTATCATGCACACACTATTCTGATTTTATATTTATTTATCATGCACACACTATTCTGATTTTATATTTATTATGCACACACTATTCTGATTTTATATTTATTTATCGTGCACACACTATTCTGATTTTATATTTATTATGCACACACTATTCTGATTTTATATTTATTAATCATGCACACACTATTCTCATTTTATATTTATTTATCATGCACACACTATTCTGATTTTATATTTATTTATCATGCACACACTATTCTGATTTTATATTTATCATGCACACACTATTCTGATTTTATATTTATTAATCATGCACACACTATTCTGATTTTATATTTATTTATCGTGCACACACTATTCTCATTTTATATTTATTTATCATGCACACACTATTCTGATTTTATATTTATTTATTATGCACACACTATTCTGATTTTATATTTATTTATCGTGCACACACTATTCTGATTTTATATTTATTTATCATGCACACACTATTCTGATTTTATATTTATTTATTATGCACACACTATTATGATTTTATATTTATTTATCATGGCTACAACACTCTAACCTTTATATTTATCACGCACGCAATATTCTAATTATTTACCTCCCGTGCATGCAGCATTCTATTTTCTATATTTCCTTGCTAGGTTCGCGTATTTAGTCGCTGGGCGCACAGCCCTCTCGTTTTATAAAATATCCTAATTTTTTGCATTTCTGTGTCGATCGTGTCTCCAATATTCTAATTTTTATATTGATTCATTTATGACGTATACAATATTCTAATCTTTATTCATGATGTATGCAATATTGTCATTTTTACATTTATTTATCATGTGTACAATATCCTAATTCTATATTTATTTATTATGGACACAATATCCTAATTCTATATTTATTTATTATGCACAAAGTACTCTAATTTTTATATTTATTGATCATGTACACAATATCCTAATTCTATATTTATTTATTATGGACACAATATCCTAATTCTATATGTATTTATGATGCACACACTATTCTAATTTTATATTTATTGTGTATGCAATAGTCTAATTTTATATTTATTTATTATGCATGCGACATTCTAATTTCATATTTATTTATGATGCACATAATATTCTAATTTTTATATTTATTATGTATACAACATTCTAATTTCATATTTATTTATGATGCACACAATATTCTAATTTTTATATTTATCATGCACACAGTCCTCTCATTTTTTACATTTATTGATCATGTATACAATATTCTAATTTTTACATTTATTTATTCTGGATACAATATTCTAATGTTTTATTTATTCACCACGCGGGCCACAATCTCATTTTCTCCATTGATTTATTTATTGATCATTGCGTACAACGTTCCGTCCGGGCCGGGCCGGGGTGGCCAGGACTCGAACTCGGGACCCCGACGACGCGGCGCTAACCACTGCGCCGCCCTCCCCCGTGGCCGGGACTCGAACTCGGGACCCCTCCGCGAGCACAGCATGCTGGGAGGCCCCTCCCCCCCTCACTCCCCCTCCCCCTCCCCCTCGTCTGCACAGGGCGGCGCCTGCGCGCAAGGCCTCCGCTCCTCCACCTCCGGGCTGCGCCCCTGCAGCTCCGGGCAGCGCGGGCGCGGGGACCCCGCGAAGGAGACGGGCCTGGGGGGGGCGAGGTCGTCCACGGGGGACAGCGTGCGCCTGCGCGGGGTACATAAATATAAATTAGAGTCCAGCCATCCCCCTGCCTCAGCTCCTCCTCCACCTCCTCAGCCATCCCCCTGCCTCAGCTCCCCCCCACTCACGGGTACTCGGGGAGCAGCGGGTCGCACAGACGCCGGCGGACGCGCGTGGGTTCGGGGCCGCAGGGCGGGGTGCACAGGCTCCAGGGGCCCCAGGGCAACCACGAACCGTTCACTGCAACGGGGACGGGGTGCTGGGCTGAGTACTCCCTGGGTGCTGGGGGCTCAGTCCTTCTGGGTGCTGTACTGAGTCCTCCCCGGGTGCTGGGTGCTGAGTTCTCCCCGGGTGCTGGGAGCTGACTTCTCCCCGGGTGCTGGGAACTGAGTCCTCCCCGGGTGCTGGGGGCTGAGTCCTCCCACGTGGGTGTTGGGCTGAGTCCTCCCCGGGTGCTGGGAACTGAGTTCTCCCTGGGTGCTGGGGGCTGAGTCCTCCCCGGGTGCTGGGAGCTGAGTCCTCCCCGGGTGCTCGGGGCTGAGTCCTCCCTGGGTGCTGGGGGCTGAGTTCTCCCCGGGTGCTGGGAACTGAGTACTCCCCGTTGGGTGCTGGGAACTGAGTCCTCCCCGTTGGGTGCTGGGAACTGAGTCCCCCCTGGGTGCTGGGAGCTGAGTTCTCCCCGGGTGCTGGGAGCTGAGTCCTCCCCGGGTGCTGAGCTGAGTCCTCCCCGTTGGGTGCTGGGAACTGAGTCCTCCCCGTTGGGTGCTGGGAGCTGAGTCCCCCCTGGGTGCTGGGAGCTGAGTCCTCCCCGGGTGCTGGGGGCTGAGTCCTCCCCGGGTGCTGGGAGCTGAGTCCTCCCCGTTGGGTGCTGGGTGCTGAGTCCCCCCTGGGTGCTGGGCTGAGTCCTCCCCGTTGGGTGCTAGGAGCTGAGTCCTCCCTGGGTGCTGGGTGCTGAGTCCCCCCCTCCCCCCGGGCCACTCACGGACGCAGTCGGTGACGTCATAGCAGTGCCGGATGTCCTGGTAGTCGCCCGGGCACCGCTTCCCGCCGAACTTCCGGCCGGCGCACGTCCTCGCGCGAGACTGCTGCCCCGGGATCTCCGCGCACCGGATGTCGGCCACGGCCGCGCGCCGGCAGGGACTCCACGGGCCCCAGGGCCCCCACTCGCCGTCCACTGTGGGGATCCGGGGGGGGGGGGACTACGTTTCCCAGGGGGCACCGGGACGGACACCGGAAATGAGCGCTAAGACCTCCCGTGAGGGACTACATTTCCCAGAGGGCTCTGGGACAGGGACCGGAAGTGAGCTCTGGGGCATACTGGGTGGCACTCATCTCCCAGAAGGCTCTGGGACAGCGACTGGAAGTGAGCTCTGGATCCCTGGCTACCTGGGACTACATCTCCCATGGAGCTTTGCGGTGGAGAGAGGAAGTGCGGGGGTCTGCGGCCCTGGCTGGGGACTACAGCTCCCATGGGGCTCTGCGGGGAAGACCGGAAGTGAGGGGGTCTGAGGCCCTGGCTGGGGACTACAGCTCCCATGGGGCTGTGCGGCGGCGGGGACCGGAAGTGCGTTGGTCTACGGCCCGGGCTGGGGACTACAGCTCCCATGGGGCTGTGCGGCGGCGGGGACCGGAAATGCTCACCGGGGCACGGCACGGCTGTGTTGCAGACCTGGGTCCGGGCGGCGTCCCCGGCACAGGCGGCGCCTCCGTGGCGGGGGGCGGGGCTGTCACATGACCGGCGCTCCGGGGTCACGCCGACGCCGCAGGTCACGGAGCATGCGCCGACCGCGCCCCAGGGGCCCCAGCCGCCGTCCACTGCGGGGGGGGGGGGGGGGGGGGGGGAATAAATCAAATCAAATAAATAATACACGTATAAAATAAAGAATTAATCAATAAATCAAATGAATAGATGTTTACAATAAATAAATAAAAGCAAAGTGAACGAATAAATGTTTAAAATAAATAAATGTGTAAGGTAATAAATATGAGCAAATAAGAGTAAATGTTTAAAACGCGTCGATAAAAGTAAAATGAAGGAATAAATGTTTAACATAATAAATATGAACAAATAAAAGTAAATAAATAAATATTTAAAACACGTCAATAAAACTAAATCAATCAAATCAATGTTTAAAATAGTAATAAATACTGAGAGGGAATTAATCAATAAATAAAATGAATAGATATTTTAAATAAATAAATGAAACTACAGTGAACGAATACATGTCTCAAATAAATCAATGTTCAAAATAATAAATATGAGCAATAAATAAGAGTAAATAAATCAGTGCTTAAAACGCGTCACTAAATCTAAAATGTACGAATAAATGTTTCAAATAATAAATACTGGAAACGAGTCAGTCGACAAATATTTAAAATAAACACTTTAAATAAACACTGAAAGAGAATCAATCCATGAATAAAATAGACATTTAAAACAAAACTGAGGTAAATAAATATTTAAAATAAATGATTAAAATAAAATAAATATTTAAAATAAATAATAAAAATAAACAAAATGGCGCGCCATCACCGAACCCCGCCCCCCGCGCCGACCTTTGACCCCACGTCCCTCCGTTCCCTCAGATTACTGGGGGGTGGGGGGGACTCAGTGCAGCACCCGGGAGGACTCAGCACAGCACCCGGGAGGACTCAGCGCAGCACTCGTCACCCCAGAGGACTCAGCACAGCACTCGTCACCCCGGAGGACTACTGAACACACCGCTCGGTACCCGAGGGAGCACTCAGCACAGCACCCGAGGGAGCACTCAGCACAGCACCCGCAGAGAAGGAGTACTCAGCGCAGCACCCGAGGGAGCACTCAGCGCAGCGCCCGAGGGAGCACTGAGCGCAGCACCTGAGGGAGTACTCAGCACAGCACCCGAGGGAGCATTCAGCACTCAGCACCCGCGGAGAAGGAGTACTCAGCGCAGCACCCGAGGGAGTACTCAGGCCAGCACCCGAGGGAGCACTCAGCACCCAGCACCTGAGGGAGCACTCAGCACCCAGCACCCGAGGGAGCACTCAGCACCCAGCACCCGAGGGAGTACTCAGCACAGCACCCGAGGGAGTACTCAGCGCAGCACCCCGACGTGCCTGGGCAGGGCGGGAGGCCGACGCAGGCCCGCTCCTCCTTCGCTGCTCCGGGGCAGGGCCGCCCCGGGGGATTCTGGGAGGGCGCGGGGGCGGAGCAGGTGCGGGCGCGCGATTCCTGGGGATCCTGGGCTCCATCTCCTTGGCTGTGGCAGGAAGCGGAGCAGCGGCTCCAGGGGCCCCAGGGCGACCAGGCGCCGTGCGCTGTGGGGGGCGGGGATATCCAAATTCGTTAATTATGCATGCGGCATGCTAATTCTCTATATTCGCTCATCATGCGTGCGATATGCTAATTTTAATATTTATTCATTATGCGTGCGGTATGCTAATTTCCTATGTTCATTCATTATGCGTGCAGCATTCTAATTTTCAATATTTATTAATTATGCATGCGATATTCTGATTTTATATTCATGGATCATGGATAAAATATTGTGATATTTATTAATTATGTATGCAATGTTCTGTTTTTATATTTATTTATTCCTTGTGTATACAATGTTGTAATATTTATGTTTATTTATTTATTATGCACGCAATATTCTAATGTTTACATTTATTCATTATCGACACAATATTCTAATTTTATATTCATCACGTATGCAATATTCTAATTTTTATATTTATTATGGAGACAATATTCTAATTTTATATTTATTCATCATGGATACAATTTTTTAATTTCTGTAGTTATTAATTATGTATGCAATGTTCAAATTTTATATTTATTAATTATGCATGCAATATTCTAATTTTATGTTTATTAATTGGGCATGCAATATTGTAATTTTATGTATTTATCATGTACGCAATATTCTAATTAATTAATTTATCTTTCATACAGGATCCTGTCTGCCTGCGGTGGTGGCCGGGACTCGAACCCGGGACCTCGGGCGGAGCCGGTGCCGCTCTAACCCCTGACCGCCCTGGGGACTCGAACCCGGGACTCGAACCCGGGACCCCAGACCCCTGAGCCGCCCTGTGGACTCGAACCCGGGACCCCGAACCCCTGAGCCGCCCTGGGGACTCGAACCCGGGACTCGAACCCGGGACCCCAGACCCCTGAGCCGCCCTGGGGACTCGAACCCGGGACCCCTGACCCCTGAGCCGCCCTGGGGACTCGAACCCGGGACCTCTAACCCCTGAGCTGCCCTGGAGACTCGAACCCGGGACTCGAACCCAGTACCCCTGACCCCTGAGCCGCCCTGGGGACTCGAACCCGGGACCTCTGACCCCTGAGCCGCCCTGGGGACTCAAACCCGGGACCCCGAACCCCTGAGCCGCCCTGGGGACTCGAACCCGGGACTTCTGACCCCTGAGCCGCCCTGGGGACTCGAAGCCGGGAAGCCTGACCCGCCCTGGGGACTCGAACCCAGGACCCCTAACCCCTGAGCCGCCCTGGGGACTCGAACCCGGGATCCCGAACCCCTGAGCCGCCCTGGGGACTCGAACCCGGGACCCCGAACCCCTGAGCCGCCCTGGGGACTCGAACCCGGGACTCGAACCTGGGACCCCTGACCCCTGAGCCGCCCTGGGGACTCGAACTCGGGACCCCTGACCCCTGAGCCACCCTGGGTACTCGAACCCGGGACCTCTGACTCCTGAGCCGCCCTGGGGACTCGAACCCGGGACCCCGAACCCCTGAGCCGCCCTGGGGACTCGAACCTGGGTCCTCTAACCCCTGAGCCGCCCTGGGGATTCGAACCTGGGACCTCTACCCCTGAGCCGCCCTGGGGACTCGAACTCGGGACCCCTGACCCCTGAGCCGCCCTGGGGACTCGAACCCGGGACCCCTGACCCCTGAGCCGCCCTGGGGACTCGAACCCGGGACCCCGGGGCGCGGGGGCACTCACTGGGGCAGACGGTGGCGGTGTTGCAGGCCTCGGCCTCCTCGGCCTCCCCGGGGCAGCGGCCGCCGCAGGTGGGGGGGGGGGCGGTCGCATCCTCGCACTCGGGTCCGGGTCCCAGCGGAGCAGGTGGCGGAGCAGGGGCCCCAGGGCGCCCACGCTGACCAGCCGCCCGGCTCTGGGGGGGGGTGATGAATAAACATGAGCTCGTTAGCATATCGCGCGTGCATAATTAATAAACATGAGCGCGTTAGCATATTGTGTGTGCATGATTAATAAACATGAGCCAATTGGAATATCGCGTGCATGATTAATAAACATGAGCCAATTAGGATATCGCGTGTGCATGATGAATAAACATGAGCGCATTTGAATATTGCATGAATAATAAACATGAGCACACTACGATATAGTGTGTGCATAATGAATAAACATGAGCAAATTAGGATATTGCGTGCATAATTAATAAACATGAGCGCATTAGAATATCGCGTGCATAACTAATAACCATGAATAAATTCGGATACTGTGGACATAATTGATAAACTTGAATAAATTAGAATATCATGTGTGCGTGATGAATAAGCATGAATAAATTAGAATATTGCGTTGCATAATTGATAAATGTGAAATCACAGTAGTGTGTGCATAACAAATAAGCATGAATAAATTAGGTAATCGCGTGCATAATTAATGAATGCAAATGAATAAATATAATATTGTATGCATAATTAACGGGCGTAATATCAGAATGTAGTTTGCATGATTAGTAAATGAATATAAAATTAGAATATTGTGTCCATGATAAGTAAATTTAAAATTACAATTTTGTGGGCATGTTTAATGACTACAAAAATTACCATACTGCATACATAATAAAAAACATAAAACTAGACAATTGCATGCATAATTAATACACATGAGTAAATTAGAATATCGCGTGTGCATAATTAATAAATGTGAGTTGGAATATCGCGTGCATAATTAATGAATGTGAAATCAGAATACGGCACACATAATAATTAAATATAAAATTACAATACTGTGTGCATAATAAATAAACACGAATAAATTAGGATATCGTGTGCATGATTAATAAACATGAGTACATTAGGATATTGTCTGCATAATTAACAAACACGAATAAATTAGGACATCGTGTGTACATAATTAATAAACACGAATAAATTAGGATATCGTGTGCATGATAAATATAAAATTAGAATGCGTGCATGAAAAATAGATGTAAAATCAGAATACTGCATACATAATAAATAGATATAAAATCAGAATATTGCGTGCATAAAAAATAAAAATAAAATTAGAATATTGTATGCATAATGATAAATATAAAAATTAGAGTATTGCATACATAATAAATAAATGTCAAAATTAGAATATTGCATGCATAATAAATAAATATAAAATTAGAATATTGCATACACGATGAATATAAAACTAGACTATCGCACGCATAATGAACATAAAATTAGAATGCCGCATGCATAATTAATGAATATAATATTAGAATGCTGCGTGCATAATGAATATAAAATTAGAATGTTGCATACATGATGAATATAAAACTAGACTATCGCACGCATAATGAATATAACATTAGAATACCGCATGCATAATTAATGAATGCAATATTAGAATGCTGCACGCATAATGAATATAAAATTAGACTATCGCACGCATGATGAATGTAACATTAGAATACCGCATGCATAATTAATGAATATAATATTAGAATGCTGCATGCATAATAAATATAAAAATTAGACTATCGCACGCATAATGAATATAACATTAGAATGCCGCATGCATAATTAGTCCGTACAGCAGTGTGTTGACCGACCCCCGACCCCCCCGACCCCCGACTCCCTCACCTGGGCAGCACGGCCGCTCCTCGCAGGCCTCCCGCTCCCAGTCCCGGGTTCGAGGCTCCGTGCCGTCCCCGCAGCGCCCGCCCCCCCCCCGCCCCACGCAGCGCCGGTGCCGCAGCCGCGAACCCTCGGAGCAGGAGACGGAGCAGGGGGACCATGGCGACCACGGCGACCAGCGCGGGGACCTGCGGGGAGGACGGGGAAATGAATAAAAAATACATAAAATATGAAAAATAAATCAACTAAAACATGAATTAACAATAAATTAATTAATAAATGAAAATGAATTAAAAATAAAAAGAATAAAATAATCGATTGATGAAAATAAATTAAAAATAAAACGAATAAATTCATGAAAATAAATTAAAAATAAAACGAATAAATTAATGAAAATGAATTAAAAATAAAACGAATAAATGAAAATAAATTAAAAATAAAACGAATAAAATAATCGACTAATGAAAATGAATTAAAAATAAAACGAATAAATGAAAATAAATTAAAAATAAAACGAATGAATTAATTAATGAAAATAAATTAAAAATAAAACAAATAAATGAAAATAAATTAAAAATAAAACGAATGAATTAATTAATGAAAATAAATTAAAAATAAAACAAATAAATGAAAATAAATTAAAAATAAAACGAATGAATTAATTGATTAATGAAAATAAATTAAAAATAAAACGAATAAATGAAAATGAATTAAAAATAAAACGAAAAAAATAATCGACTCATGAAAATGAATTAAAAATAAAACGAAGAAATTAATGAAAGTGAATTAAAAATAAAACGAATAAAATAATCGGTTCATGAAAATGAATTAAAAATAAAACGAATAAATTAATCGACTCATGAAAATAAATTAAAAATAAAAGGAACAAATGAATCAGTTAATTAATTAAGAATACATTAATAAATAAAAAATAAATGAATAAATGGCAAACAAAAATAAAGAATAAATCAATTAAACATGAATTGAAAATTAATTAAAAATAAAAATGAAATAAAAAAGAAGCAAAGCTCTCGGGAGGCGGCGGCTGGGGAAGAGAGGGAAAAAAACGTTCATAAATAAATGAAAAGTAAATAAATTAAGACATAAAGAAAGGAAGAATAAATTAATTAATAAATTAAGATAAATTTAAAAATAATAAATGAATTAAAAATGAATATCAATTAACTAAACATAAATTAGTTAATAAATTAAGATAAATGTAAAAATAGAATAAATAAATTAAAAATGAATAAAAATTAACTAAAAATAAATTAATTAATAAATTAAGATAAATGTAAAAATAGAATAAATAAATTAAAAATGAATAAAAATTAATTAAAAATAAATTAGTTAATAAATTAAGATAAATGTAAAAATAGAATAAATAAATTAAAAATGAATAAAAATTAATTAAAAATAAATTAGTTAATAAATTAAGATAAATGTAAAAATAGAATAAATAAATTAAAAATAAATATTAAAAACAAATTCATTAATACATTAAAATAAATTTAAGAATCAAATAAATTCATTAATAAATTAAAATTAAAAATAAACTAAAACATAATAAAAATGAAAATAAAATCTGAATTTCATTTCCCCCTCTGACCGGGAACCGCGAGGTCGCGACCCCGACAGCTGAGGGCCGGGAAGTGCTGAGTCCGCGGGAGCTCAGTACCCCCTAGAGCACGGGGGGGGGGGGGGGGGGGGGGACTCAGCCCAGCACCCAGGAGGACTCAGCACAGCACCCGGGAGGACTCAGCGCCCAGCACCCAGGGAGAACCCAGCACCCAGCACCCGGGAGTACTCAGCCGAGCACCCGGGGAGGACTCAGCGCCCAGCACCCGGGAGTACTCAGCCCCCAGCACCCAGGGAGGACTCAGCACCCAGCACCCGGGAGTACTCAGCCCAGCACCCGGGGAGAACTCAGCTCTCAGCGCCCAGCACCCGGGGAGAACTCAGCACCCAGCACCCAGGGAGTACTCAGCGCCCAGCACCCGGGGAGTACTCAGCACCCAGCACCTACCCGCAGGCCAGGCAGGGGCCCCCCTCGCGCTCCCGGAAGCCGTAGGCGGCGTTGAGGCAGCAGGCGTCCTCGCTGACCCCGCCCCCGATCAGCCCCGCGCAGGCGCCCGTCGCCTCCTCGTAGCGGGCAAAGCAGAGCACGGGGTCCGCACCTGTGGAACCGAGGGGGGGGTCAGTCAGGGTGCTGTGCTGAGTCCTACCGGGGGCCGGGGGCTGCGCTGAGTCCCCCCGGGTGCTGTGCTGAGTCCTACCTGGGGCCGGGGGCTGCGCTGAGTCCCCCCTGGGTGCTGTGCTGAGTCCCCCTGGGTGCTGTGCTCAGTCCCCCTGGGTGCTGTGCTGAGTCCTATCGTGTGCTGGGTGCTGCACTGAATCCCCCTGGGTGCTGTGCTGAGTCCTATCGGGTGCTGGGTGCTGTGCTCAGTCCCCCTGGGTGCTGTGCTGAGTGCTCCCGGGTGCTGGGTGCTGTGCTCAGTCCCCCTGGGTGCTGTGCTGAGTCCCCCCCTCCCCTGGGTGCTGTGCTTAGTCCCCCTGGGTGCTGTGCTGAGTCCCCCCTCCCCTGGGTGCTGCGCTCAGTCCCCTTGGCTGCTGTGCCGAGTGCCCCCTCCCCTGGGTGCTGTGCTTAGTCCCCCTGGGTGCTGTGCTTAGTCCCCCTGGGTGCTGTGCTTAGTCCCCCTGGGTGCTGTGCTGAGTCCCCCCTCCCCTGGGGGCTGTGCTCAGTCCCGCTGGGTGCTGTGCTCAGTCCCCCTGGGTGCTGTGCTCAGTCCCCCTGGGTGCTGTGCTGAGTCCTCCTGGGTGCTGTGCTCAGTCCCCCGGGTGCTGTGCTGAGTCCTCCTGGGTGCTGTGCTTAGTCCCCCTGGGTGCTGTGCTGAGTCCCCCTGGGTGCTGTGCTGAGTCCCCCTGGGTGCTGTGCTTAGTCCCGCTGGGTGCTGTGCTCAGTCCCCCTGGGTGCTGTGCTCAGTCCCCCTGGGTGCTGCGCTGAGTCCCCCTGGGTGCTGTGCTTAGTCCCCCTGGGTGCTGTGCTGAGTCCCCCTCCCCTGGGTGCTGTGCTCAGTCCCCCCCTCCCCCGCTTACCCGCGACCGGCAGCAGCAGCAGCAGGAGCAGCGACCCCGGGGTCGGCATCGCGGCGGGTGGGTGCTGTGCTGAGTCCTCCTCCTCCGTGCCGCCGGGGTGCTGTGCCGAGTCCTCCCGAGTGCTTTGTCCGCGGGAAAGAGGAACCCGGGGCGGGCGGAAGTGGGCGCGGCCCGGGGAGGGGGCGACTTCCGGTGTGACCCCCGGTGACCCCGCTGTGACCCCCGCGCGGAGTTTTGGATTTATTTATTTATTATGTATTTATTGTATTTATTGTATTTATTTATTATGATTTATTTATCAATTATATATTATTTCTATTGATTCTATGTATTTATCGTGCTTACACGTCACATAAAACGTGATTTATGTTTATTCTTATATTTAATTTATTGATACACAGTTATATTTGTATTTATTATTTATATTAATATGTATTTATTCCGTATATTGATTCCGTGTATTCGTATTACAGATTTATTATGATGTATTATGCGATACTCAGCATGTCCATTTTTTTTATATTTTTCTATTTATTTTTCTATTTTAACGAACACACGAACACTTTCATGAAAACGTGAATAAATAAAAAATAAACAATTTAAAAAATAAATAATAATAACAATAATAATAATAAAAGGCAAAACTTTCGCGGGGGCGGCGGCGGGGAAGAGACGGAAACCTTTCATAAATGAATAAACCGATTTCGTAAAGGAATAAAAATGTATTTAATAAATAAAAAAAGAATAAATGAATTCATTTAATAAATAAATAAACGAATAAATACGTCAAAACAATAAAAATTAAACATTTAAAAAATAAAAAAAAAGCAGAAGTCGGTCGGCCGGGGGGGGATCCCCGTCGCACCCACGACGTCACGCGATGGCGCAGGTGGATGACGTGGCGGCGCGCCCGGCGCGAGAAAAGTCCCCACGGGAACGGACGGGGGACGGGCGGCGCGGCGCGAGAAAAGTCCCCACAGGAAACGGGACGGGCGGCGCCGACGGATGACGTCACGGCTCGGCGGGCGGGGCGGGCGGGCGCGAGAAAAGTCCCCATGGAACGGGACGGGGCGGGGGACGAGCGGCGCGGCGCGAGAAAAGTCCCCACAGTAAACGGGACGGGCGGCGCCGGTGGATGACGTCACGACGGGGCGGGCGGGGCGGGCGAGCGCGAGAAAAGTCCCCATGGATGGGACGGGGGACGGGCGGCGCGGCGCGAGAAAAGTCTCACGGGAACCGGGACGGGGGCGACGGGCGGCGCCGTCGGATGACGTCGCGACTGGGCGGGCGGGGCGGGCGAGCGCGAGAAAAGTCCCCATGGAACGGGACGGGGCGGGGGACGGGCGGCGCAGCGCGAGAAAAGTCCCACGGCGAACGGGACGGGGGCGACGGGCGGCGCCGGTGGATGACGTCACGGCTGGCGGGGCGGGCGAGCGCGAGAAAAGTCCCCATGGGAAGGGACGGGGGACGGGCGGGAGAGCACGAGAAAAGTCCCACGGGAAAGCGGCGCGCTCCGTTTAAAACAAATTTCCGGAGATTGCCGAGCTCTGCCGAGCGGAGATTTCCGAGCTCTGCCGAGCGGAGATGTCCGGAGATTGCCGAGCTCTGCCGAGCTCTGCCGGGCGGAGATGTCCGAGCTCTGCCGGGCGGAGATGTCCGGAGATTTCCGAGCTCTGCCGAGCGGAGATGTCCGGAGATTGCCGAGCTCTGCCGAGCGGAGATTTCCGGAGATTGCCGAGCTCTGCCGGGCGGAGATTTCCGGAGATTGCCGAGCTCTGCCGAGCGGAGATGTCCGAACTCTGCCGAGCTCTGCCGAGCGGAGATTTCCGGAGATGTCCGAACTCTGCCGAGCGGAGATTTCCGGAGATTGCCGAACTCTGCCGAGCGGAGATTTCCGGAGATGTCCGAGCTCTGCCGAGCGGAGATTTCCGGAGATTGCCGAACTCTGCCGAGCGGAGATTTCCGGAGATGTCCGAGCTCTGCCGAGCGGAGATGTCCGGAGATGTCCGAGCTCTGCCGAGCGGAGATTTCCGGAGATTGCCGAACTCTGCCGAGCGGAGATTTCCGGAGATGGCCGAGCTCTGCCGAGCTCTGCCGAGCGGAGATTTCCGGAGATTGCCGAGCTCTACCGAGTCATATAAAAAATATAAAAAAAAATATATAAAAATATGAAAAAGCCCCCAGCGCCGTCGCTCCCGAGTTCCCCCTCTTACATCCGGGGACCGCGACGGCCCCGCAACCCCCCCCCCCCGGTTCCGGGTTCCAGAATTCCACAGCTCACAGAGACCCGAGTTCTAGAAGGTTCCGTCCGTGGCTGACGATCGCAGGAGGCGTCTGAGGCAGGGGGATCACACTTTGGGGGGAATCTGAGGCAGGGGGATCACACTTTGGGGGGATCTGAGGCAGGGGATCACACTTTGGGGGGATCGGAGGCAGGGGGATCACAGTTTTGGGGGATCTGAGACAGGGGGATCACGCTTTGGGGGGGATCTGAGGCAGGGGATCACACTTTGGGGGGATCGGAGGCAGGGGGATCACAGTTTTGGGGGATCTGAGACAGGGGGATCACGCTTTGGGGGGGATCTGAGGCAGGGGGATCACACTTTGGGGGGAATCTGAGGCAGGGGGATCACGCTTTTGGTCCGATCTGCGGCAGGGGGATCACAGTTTTGACTTTTGGCTGATCTGCGGCAGGGGGATTACGCTTTTGGGCGGATCTGAGGCAGGAGGATTACAGTTTGGACTTTTGGCGGATCTGGGGCAGGGGGATTACAGTTTTGGCTGATCTGCGGCAGGGGGGTGGCACTTTCGGTCGGAATCTGCGGCAGGGGGATTACAGTTTGGACTTTTGGGCAGATCTGCGGCAGGGGGATTACAGTTTTGGCTGATCTGCGGCAGGGGGATCGCACTTTTGGGCGGAATCTGCGGCAGGGGGATCACAGTTTTGGACTTTTGTCGTATCTGCGGCAGGGGGATCGCGCTTTCGGTCGGATCTGCGGCAGGGGGATGCCCGCGCGGGCGGCCGCGCTTGCGCTCTGGGCCGCGCTCGCCGTGGCCGCCGCGGACGCGAAGATCTACGGACACTGCGAGCTTGCGGGGAAACTGGCGCGGGCCGGGCTGGACGGGTTCCGGGGCCTCGCGGTCGGGGACTGTGAGTGCGGGGTTCCGGTGTTTATTCAGTTTAGTTTATTTATTTATTTTATTTTAATTTTTATTTTATTTTATTTCAATTTTTATTTATTTTATTTTATTTTAATTCATTTTTATTATTTTATTTTATATTTTATACATTATTTTAGTTTTTTATTTTATTTTATTTTATTTTTTATTTTTATTTTATTTTTATTTTATTTATTTTTATTTATTTTATTTTTATTTTATTTTAATTTTATTTTTATTTTTGTTATTTTATTTTATATTTTTTATTTTATTTTATTTTTTATTTTATTTTTATTTTACTTTACTTTTTATTTATTTTATTTTTATTTTTTTTAATTTTTATTTTATTTTTGTTATTTTATTTTATATTTTATATTTTATTTTATTTTATTTTTTATTTTATTTTTATTTTATTTTAATTTTTATTTAATTTGTATTTTATTTGTATTTTATTTTAATTTGTATTTTATTTTATTTTTCATTTTAGTTATTTTATTTTTTATTTTTATTTTATTTTATTGATTTTTATTTATTTTATTTTAATTTTTGTTTATTTTTATTCATTTTATTTTATTTTTATTGATTTTATTATTTATCTGTTTTAAATATTTATTTTTAGCTATGTTAGCTTTATTTATTTTTATTTATCTATTTTAAATATTTAGTTTCATTATTTGTTAGTTTGATTTATTTTTATTTATTTGATTTCAATTTTTATTTTATTTTAATCATCTATTTTAAATATTTACTTTTAGTTATGTTAGTTTCATTTATTTTTCATTTATTTTAATTATTTATGTTATTTATTAATTTTTTATTTTATTTATTTATTTATTATTTATTTATCTTTTATTTATTATTATTTATTTATTCTTTACTTATTTTATTTATTTTAAATATTTATCTTCAGTTATGTTAGTTTTATTTATTTTTTATTTTTATTTTATTTTTTATTTTTAATTTTATTATTTTGTTTTATTTTTTATTTTATTCATTTTTGTTTCATCCATTTTTATTTATCATTTTAATTTTTATTTATTTTATTATTTTACTCATCTATTTTAAGTATTTATTTTTAGATATGTCAGTTTCATTTCTATTTAATTAATTTATTTATTTTCGTTTGTTTATTTTTGACTTTTTATTTATTTATTTAGTTAGTTTTATTTACCTTTTATTTACTTTATTTTATTTCCTTCCTTCATTTTCATTTCGTTTGTTTGTCTCCGTTTTGATTCTTTTATCATTTTTCGTTCTACTCGTTCCATGTCACGAATCATGAATTTATCATCTATTTTTATTTTTAATTCTATGGATTTGATTGTTTTCCTTCATTCATTTTATTTTCAATGCCTATCGATTTCAGTTTTAATTACTTTATTTATTTATTTTCATTTTTATCCATTTTACTTCATCAATTCCTGTGTTTCCTTGGTTTTCAATGTTCATTATTGATTTTTTGGGTTTTTTTTATTCGTTCTGTTTTAACCCCCGTGGGTGGCTGGGACTCGAACCCGGGACCCCCGCAGGGACTCGAACCCGGGACCCCGTTGGGACTCGAACCTGGGACCCCCCCCCCCCCCCCCCCCCCCCCGCAGGGCTGTGCATGGCACACGCGGAGAGCGGCCTGGACACGGCGTCCCTGTCCCGCCACCCCGACGGCAGCAGCACCTACGGCCTCTTCCACCTCAGCTCCGCCTGGTGGTGCTACGACAGCATCGCCCCTACCCGCGACCTCTGCCACCTCCACTGCCAGGGTGAGTGGGGGGGCGGGGGGGGTTCCTGGGTGCGAGTCCCGGGGTCCTGGGTGCGAGTCGTCCCAGCCTCCCTACCCCGCTCCCCAGGGAACGAACGAATGAACGAACGAAAGAAGAAACGAATGAACGAACGAACGAATGAATGAACGAACGAACGAACGAATGAACGAATGAATGAACGAATGAACGAACGAACGAATGAATGAACGAATGAACGAATGAATGAATGAACGAATGAA